TAGTGATCATAGAATCATAGAATTTTAGGAGTTGGAACGGACCTCACAGACCATCCAGCCCCAAACTCCTGCCCTGGGCAGGGACACCTCCCACCACGCCAGGCTGCTCAAGGCTCATCCAACCTGGCTGTGAATTCCCCTCCTCTGAACCCACTACCACCTTGTCCTATCATTGCAAGGGTAGGATCAAGTTGTGTTTCAGGGGTCAATGAGAGAATCTCATTTGAAAGGTGAAAAACAAAGAGCCTGAACCTATAAATCACTGTTTCTGCAGCTGTTGGGGTGGGCAGTGCATTGACCATCACCTTGCTGAGAACACTCTAAATGCCTGTGCATCACTTTGAGTAGTTAGAGCTGCTCATGGTTGCATTCTTGCAAGGGTAGGATCAAGTTGTGTTTCAGGGGTCAATGAGAGAATCTCATTTGAAAGGTGAAAAACAAAGAGCCTGAACCTATAAATCACTGTTTCTGCAGCTGTTGGGGTGGGCAGTGCATTGACCATCACCTTGCTGAGAACACTCTAAATGCCTGTGCATCACTTTGAGTAGTTAGAGCTGCTCATGGTTGCATTCCTTACCCAGGGCAGGTCATTTGATTAAACACCACACAGAGCTGGGTAGTGATCATAGAATCATAGAATTTTAGGAGTTGGAACGGACCTCACAGACCATCCAGCCCCAAACTCCTGCCCTGGGCAGGGACACCTCCCACCACGCCAGGCTGCTCAAGGCTCATCCAACCGGGCTGTGAACACTGCCAGGGTTGGGGCAGCCACAGCCTCCCTGGGCAACCTGGGCCAGTGTCTCACCACCCTCACAGGGAAAACTTCTGCCTAATATCTAACCTAAATTTCCCCTCCTTCAGTTTGTGCCCATTGCCCCTTGTCCTGTCCCTGCAGCTCCTAACACAGAGTCCCTCTCTGGCCTCCCTGTGATGGGATGCTCAGAGCCAGGAGGACCATGGGATCCAGCACTTCACACACTGCAGCTTGTAGCCATTTCCCCAGAGCCCTCCAACAGTGAGGTAGAGCAATCCATCCATCTCTGACAGCTTCTGTGAGTTGGACAGTGTTTTTTCAATTTTTTTCCCCTGTCTTTTGATGAAGTCTCTCTAGTGCTGTCTCCTCCTGCCCAAGCTACTCTCCCTGCAACAGCTAGTCTGCCAGAGTGTGTAAAATGGTGATCAGAGCTCAGGGTCAAGAGACAGGACCTTCTCTTCCCCACACCTGAAAATCCTACAGCCATATGCTTTCAGCAAATGCCACGGGATGCCACAACCCCCTGTTCTTCAGTAGCCTCTTGACCCCAAAGAGATTGGAAAGGCAGGAGTGCACTGGTGCAGGAGGGTCTAGGCAGGTCTGGAGGAGAGTTCCAGTTCCTCTCCCTCCACCACTGCACATTGGCTCTCCTCCTCTCTACAACACAGTGGTATCTGCTGCTGAGGTTCCTCTGGGACAGGCCAGTCAGCAGGATAGGGTTGCACTACTGCCCATTAACATATCAGGCTGTTGCCACTCTGATGCTGCCCATGATAAGTGTCCCCAAAGAACCTATAAATAAATAACTAAGCAGCCTGTCTTATGCATCTTAATTACTGGCGGGCCAAGAAGACAGCAAACTTTTAAAGGTGGCCTTGTATCCTCTGGAGATCCAGGTGGTCTATCCTCCAGACACTGAAAACCATGCAGCAGCTTTTCCAGAAACCAGCAGCACTTTGAGGCACATCATGCACATGTAAACCAGAGAAAACCAGCAGCTCCAGGGCAGTAGAGGGGAGAGGTGTCTAAAGTCCATGTTATGCCATTTCACAGCATCACAGAGGAGCCGAAGTATCTGTCTTGCGATCTGGTGTAGCTCACACCACTGGGAAGTGACTTCTGCTGACATGGGGTTCCCCCTGTACACAGGGCCTACCTGTCTGGATCCTCCCAGCTGGGACTAGGATGGATTATCTGTAGATGATAAAGATGTGACTGTATATCATTGATAAGTCACCTAGTTTAAGAACAGCAGAATAGAATCATAGAATCATAGAATTTTAGGGGGTGGAATGGACCTTAGAGATCATCCAGTCCCAACCCCCTGCCCTGGGCAGGGACACCTCCCACCACACCAGGTCGCTGAAGGCTTCATCCAACCTGGCTGTGAACACTGCCAGGGTTGGGGCAGCCACAGGCTCCCTCGGCAACCTGTGCCTCACCACCCTCACAGGGAAAACTTCTGCCTAAGATCTAACTTAAATTTCCCTTCCTTCAATTTGTGCCCATTGCCCCTTATCCTGCAGCTCCTAACACAGAGTCCCTCTGCAGCTTCCCTGGAGCCCCTTCAGCTCCTGGAAGGTGCTCTGAGGTCTCCACACAACCTTCTCTTCTCCAGGCTGAACAGCCCCAACTTCCTCAGCCTTCATAGGGGAGACGGTGGTCATACTCCCAAACATGAGAAACCTTCCTGAGGGGGAAGCACAGTGTTTTCCAAACGCTAGGTCAGTGCAGACTCATCACCACCCTCGTTTTCTGTGGTGTTCTCAGAACTTTATTTCATTGTACCACTGCCCTTGCACAGAACGCACTTCAGATTTACAAGGTCACAATGCTGGTTTGCAGGTGATGTCATCTTGGAAGAACTGCAGATGCCCTAAATAGGTGCCATAACTGTTTGCTTATTTCCTGCTCCTGACTGGTGAATATGGACCAAACCCTCAACTCCTGGAACATGGCTTGGTACTGAAGGCAATGCAGTATTCCCTCCAATGCTACATCTCAGATTCCTATAGTAGCACTCTAACATAGAATCATAGAGACCTTTAAGATGATCATGTCCAACCATCCATCTAGCACTACCACTGTAACCCCTAAACCACTAAACCATATCACCCAGTGCCAGATCCAGCTTCCTCTCAAAGCCAGATCCAGATGCCTCTTAAACACCTGCAGGGATGGTAATTCCACCACCTCCCTGGGCAACCTATTCCTATGGAAAAGGAAATCCCTGAACAGAACTCACTAGTAGTGTATCTTAATGAAGCCATTGGAATTTTATAGCTCAGGAGTGATTAATTTCTGTGCATACTCTTAGCAGAGAGGGTCTGACCTTCTTCCCTTCTCAGTCAGTAGTAGTTTGGCTGTGCTGACCTCACTGGCAGCAGGACTAGTACACGTTTTACTGGGGCTGTTTATAGGATCCAAAGTAGTCCAGAAGGGAGAGGTTTTGAGAGATCAGAGGAGGTCCCAAATCACACTGGTTGATGCCCCACATGTGTTTCTGAATACACCAGACACTAGGTAGGAAGGAGAAAAGACTGGTTTTGTGCCATGCAAGCTTTCAGTTAAAGCATCAACAGACTGGTTATAGGAGGGACAACGAGTCAGAATATTTTTAGCCAATTCTACCCTGAATTCTGGTTCTTCCTTTATTCTGGAAATTCTCATGGTTGTGACAAATCGGGATCTTGGTGTGACACAGAAGCCTTGTCTCCTTGCCTGGGGTCAATTCAGTAAGGAAAAGGGTGTATGATACCACCTGTGCTATGCTGAAATATGGTTATTCCCCATCAAAAACCCATGAGGCATTGTTTGTCACACGAGACATGAGCCAGTTGTCACTCTTTCTTCTTTTATTGGCCTTTAAAAATACCTACAGAGCCACTATAAATAGACCTTCTTCCACTGAAGATGGCAACTCCATCCCACAGCTCAGGGATGTCATTTTCAATATGTGCACTTGAAACACAGCCAAGTGGAATCCAAATGTCACAACCCAACTGGACAAGGACCAGGCCCCCACTTTGCAAACAGCCTCTGTAATATCACAGTGGGGAGCTGGGTCCAATTTCTTTCCGAGTCCATGGGGTGGTACCAGCTGCTGGGGCACAGCTGGGCCTTCCCCAGCCTCCCAAGGCTGACACTCCCTAAAGGATGAGCCTCTTTGCAGACTTTCTACACGTGGGCTTGATTGAAAGAATGTTTTATTCCACTTCTGCCCATAAAAATTAATCCCTTCGTGGTATGCAGGCTGCATTCTGTCCATGAAGATATTCCACTGCATGGTGAAGTAAGCCCCCAGCTTTCTGTGGTGTCAGAAAGCTGACACCTCTTGCTTTTTTTCCTCCCAGACCCATCTATTGTTATTGACTTCAACTCCAGCTTTTGTGCTGAGTTAAGGATTTTATTTAGCAACTGATCCACACCAATTAAAGCATTGCCTAAATCCTCAGCTGTCCTAGGGCCTGATTCTTCAAACTCAACCAAAGGGCCAACAGACTGTCCTTATTCCTCCAGATTGAAGGGGATTGTGGTCAAGAGGACATTGCCAGGGTGGTTGTTGCGGTGATACCCTTCACAAAGCAGATTTAAGAGCATAGTCCTGATGTGGGACTTGAATGCTATCAGAAAGGAAATATCAGATACCCTTGTAGTGCCTACTGACTTCTAACTTGTACCAACAGCAAAATCTATCACTGGCACATTTGTGCTCCTCAGCCTTGAGGCTTTGGTGTAATGGTTTGAGTCTGTTTTTATAAACCTGAGGCAGAACCATGGTTTCCTGCCAGCTGCATTCTCATCCTATTTATCTTTGCCTACACCTTACCCAGCAGGAGAGAAAAACACCTTTGATGTTGCCCTCATTTTAGGACATGGTAATACTAAATGAGTGAGGAGTGGCATAGAGGAGATGCAGTGACTCCAACTAGCATTGCTTGCTCCCCTAAGTGCTTCCACTGCCCACAAAACATAGAAGAAAGAGCTGGTAGTGCTGTGTGGGACTGTGTGAAGCCCTGATGCTCCTCATGAAGCTTGTCAAGCACTCTGCATGCTTTTTAACATGCCACTAACCACAACTCTCTGGAGTAGTTATACATTCAAGGGTTTCTTTCCATTCCATGCCCAGCAGCATGCCATTAAAGCAAAACAAGCAGCTAGTGACAATACTCATGACTTGAAAATCCATTCCTGTTTTCTCTTGCACAGCACCAAAAGCAGACACTCTTGTGGAGATGATAAGATGCTGGTAGACCCTTTGGTGCTGAAGAAGAAGCTCAATAGGATGGCAACAGAACATGGGGCCTTTGCTGTTCTTAGCAGCCTGCTGCTGTATGTCACTGAGCTCATGGCTGGCGATCCAGAGATCAGCAACAAGAGGACCAAATGGGCAGAAGGTAAAGAAAACAAGGTGAGTTATAACCAGACGTGTCCAGGTCCAGTCAGGGCTCAATATCCAAGCAGATTTCAGCTGTTGCGGTCGAGGTTTCTAAACAACAATCGTGAGCCATACACCAAGAAGAGAAGAGAAGTTGGCAAACTGGTCATTAAAGAGAAACTGTGGGTGAGCAGGGCTGGTAACAAGCTGGACAGAAGCAGAGACAGGAAAGGAGACGGAAAAGAAGGGGAGGAGGATGCAGACACAGCACCCAGTGACAGGGCCAGGTGGAGCGGAGCGACTGGAAAAAACACAGTCAAGGACATCCTGAAGAAATTTTTAGCTGCTGAAGAAAAAGAAGCCAAGGAAAAGTCTCCCGGCTGGAAAAAGAAAGGGGCAAACAGTGGTTTGCCAAAAATAGTCAATAAGAATTCGGTCCTGTCCAAACTGAAGGAACAGTTTGAACAAAGCACTCTCTGCTCAGCCGCGGAGGTGAAAGCATCGCTCCTGCGCAAAGGTGAGAGAAAGACTAAGAATTTCCCAAGCAGAAAAACTATCCATAAGCCTGAGGTCAGAGTGCTGCGCACAGCAGCAATGACAGCCACAGGTGTAAAGAGTCCAGAGTCCCAAAATCTGGTGTGCTCCATGGTCCCAGTGCCCAGACTCAGCATGGCTACCAAAATCAACCATCCTTGGAGCTGGTCAAAAAACAACGCCGCAAAGCAGCCTGTTGGGCATGAGACGAGACTGAAGGAGAAGGAGGAGTCCAACAGAGACCATGGGGAGAACAAAACACTGGCAAATGCAGCACAAGACAGGGAGGACAAAGAAGAGTTACCAGTGGCACCAGAAGCCATGTCTAATGCAAAGGACTGTGCTGAGACTAAAACAGATTCTTCCAAACAAGGACCTGCCTTTCATCTTCTTCTAGATAACTCTTCTACTACTCATCCAAATGAAGCTCTTGCAGACTGCATTCTTCCCTTAGCTGAATGTGGTCTAGATTGTGATAGGAATAACATGCCAGCTGGTCCTAACTCATCTTCACTACTGGGGATTGCCAATGCTGTGCAACATGCTCAGGAAGGCAGTTCACCTTCTGACTCACCTCACTCTAGCACAGCTGAAGGATCCCATGAACAAAGTCCTCAGGATGCTAAGCCAGGAGAGATTCCTGAAATAACTATGTACATATACAGTTCAGAGGAAGAGGATGCAGAGATCACAGAGTCAGAAAATGATCCTTTCTTTGCAGGCCAAATATGTTTTCCAGAGCAGAAAGCACTGGAAAATATTCTGCCATTTCACTCTCCAGGAGTTCAAACACCTCCTGGAGTTGAGGCTCCAATGGATCACCAACAGCTAACTGTCTTAATACCAGCTTCTGGCCAAAAGCCACCAATAGTCCAAAAAGAGGCCCTGGATTTAAGGGGTGAATGTTCTGAGGAAGCCAAAAAAGGAGCAAAATTTCACAGAGAAGACAAAACAACTTCTACTTCTAGGCAAAATGATAGTGAAGTCCTGAATACAGAGGAGGAAAATAAAACACCCAATAACCAAATGCAACATGAATCCAAACCCATGCAGCCACAGCCTCCTCAGATAACTTTTAGCCCACAAAATAGCTTTGATAATTCCAGCATGGATGTATCAAATCCAGATGCAAATCAGAACAAACCCACACTGTCCTCCAATGAAAGCCAGGAGCCTGGTGCTGCAGAAGAAGAGCACATCTCTTCTCCTCTGGAAAAGACACAAAACCCTTTGCCAGGTGACCTCATGAAGCACAGATCATGTATTTCAGAAGAAGATTCTGGGAAGGACAAATTATCTTCATCAAATGAAATGGTGAACTATGCAAACAATCAAGCCCTATGCAAGAATACCTTGACTGACCTGGAGACCTGTCACAAGTTATCCAAATCTTCCATTGAGCATGAAGAGGCCACTGAGGATGAGATGCCCTGGCCTGACCCTGAGGCATGGCTGTCACCCTCACTGACCCCTGTACCAACATCAGTGAGTGAGGCTGCAGGACAAAGAGTCCCTCACACTCTTGGAAATCCTCCAGCACTTCCACCTATTGATCTGGAGAGACAAGGAGCTGGTGGTGTGGGACATGAGCACGCCAGATATGGTTGTGAGAAGCATCCACCATCCCCTGCAGAGGAGTTGACAAACAATGAGAATCACACAACAATGGAGAAGAAAACTGCATGTGATTTTGAGAACCAAGTGCTGTCCCCAAATCCTGCATCAGAAGATGAAAACTCTATAGACAAAGAGACAAATACAAGTCAGAGATTTGATGAATGTCTTTCACCTTCAACCAAGAAGCCAGGAAAACACATAAATAACACCATGCCAGCAAGAAAACCCCTATTATCCTTGGAGAAGAACCAAACACCAACTTCAGATGATACCACACTGCAAGGATATGATATGCTGGAAGAGAACTCAATTCCTTCGTCAGCTGAATTGGTCTCAGACCAAAAGCAGCATGGTGGAAGCAAAGGTAGAAATAAGGTCTCAGAACATACAAGGGATGAGCTCTTCTCATCAGATGACAACTTGAAACATGAGAGTGATAGGATGGAGGTAGAGGAGGCAGAAGAGAGAAATGTCCTGCATAAATCTGAGGAGGAACAAATATTCACACCAAATGCTGTGGATCATGATATGAACTCTTCAAAGGAGAAGAATGCTCACAGACCTCAAACATCCCAGGCACCTTCATCAGAGCATGATACCAACATTCAAAGAGAGGAAAATACTGGACAGGGTTTGGAGCATCTAGCACCTTCAAGAGATTTTGTGAAACATGAACATGACATGACAGAAGATGAAACCATCTGTTGCAATAATGGGAAAAACCACCTGGCCTCATCAGATGAGCCAATGAAACACTCAAATGACAGTGCAGGGGAAGAAAACATCCAGTCAAACTTCAGTAATTACTCAATGCCACTAAGAAATACATCAAGACAGGACAATAAGACCATTGATGAGGACAATGCCCCTCTAGAAACAGAGAAACAGATGTCACCAGGTGACTTTGTAAAGCCTGAAACTAAGTTGGACAAAAAAGAGGCTAAACATAATTCTGAGAAGCTCCACTCACCTTCTTCAAACCAAATGCCAAATCCTCCAGACAGAAGCTCTTCAGGAGAGAGGAAGCAAAAGACACCAGCAACAGAAGACACCAGATCACCTGAAACAACAGGAATGAAAGATGATAATGAGCACCAGCTTTCTGGGAGGCAGCAGTTACCTCTGTCAAGAACACCAGAAATGCAAGAGAAAAACATTCCAGGCAGAGACAAGCAGCAAATGAGATTTGAAGATTTTCCAGCCTCTGATACAAATGCTGTAGGAGAAAAGGACAAAAAAGATGGAGATCTAAATCCAGAGAAGCCACTTTGTTCAAACAAAGTGCTGAAGCCTCAAGAAAGAAACTCTACAGGAGAGAGGAAGCAAAAGACACCAGTAGCAGAGGACAGCAGGTCACCTGAAGAACAGGCTGTGAAAGAGGATGATAAACATCAATATTCTGGGAATCATCAGTTACCTCCTCCAAGTAAATCATCAAAGCCTGAGAAAAATACTCCAGAAGAGAAGGACAAATTTCTAAGCTCCAGGAAGTACCGATCAGTATCATCAGAAACATTGGTTAAGCCTCAAGAGAAAAGTACTTCAGAACAAAAACAACAAACATCAGATCCTGCAGATTTTAAGAAGCCTGGTGCTAATGCTGTAGAAGAAAAAGATGGAGATCCAAATTCTGAGAAGCCACTTTGTTCAAACAAAGTGCTGAAGCCTCGAGAAAGAAACTCTTCAGAGGAGAGGAAGCAAAAGACACCAGTAGCAGAGGACACCAGGTCACCTGAAGAAAAGGCTGTGAAAGAGGATGATAAACATCAGTGTTCTGGGAACTATCAGTTACCTCCTTCAAGTAAATCACTAAAGCCAGAAAAAAGAACTCCAGGAGAAGAAAACCAAGAAACTACATCTGAAAGTTTTACAAAGCCTGATGCAAATGCTGTAGAAGACAAAAGCAAAGACCCAAGTTCTGGGATGTGCCAATCTCCAAATTCCCTCTTGAAGTCTCAAGAAAATAATGCCACAGCCAGAAAGGAGCAAGCACCACCACGACCTGATGAAAAAACAGTGTGTAAAAGTGGTAGTCCAGACAAGAGAAGTGAACCTGAGAGAAGACAGAAGTATCAGCAAGGCTCTCCAGCTCAGTCAGGGAAGCACAGCAGTGATGGCTCAGGAGGGGAAGGTCCTGTGGGTGACTCAAAGAGCAGTCAGTCTCCATTGCCAAGTGGCAGCCTAAATTGTCAAAGCAGTGCTGTCCCAAAAGAGACTAGTTTGTCTAACACAGAGAAGTTCCCCAAACCATCCTCATTGTTTCATGTTGTATCAAAAGATGAGGAAAATCCTGCTGGAAATAGGAAAAACCAGCCTGGATTTAAGAAGTATCAGGCGCTCTCATCAAAGGCTTTGGCAAGGCATGAGAAGGATGGTGCTGAAAGGGAAGGGAGCTGGCAGGCAGCTGGCAAAACAAGGGACAGAAAAGCAGAGCTGGAGGACTGCAATAAAGCAGCACCATTCTCAAAATACACCGTGGAAAGCTACAGTGAAGGACCCTTAGATTCGTCCTTCAAACCATTGATCATCAGAGCAACTGACACATTTAAACATCACAGCTGAAAACTCCAGCAACAGCTTAGGCAAGAACTTACCACTGATCATGCCACCAATTCTCTTGATCTTTCTTTTCTCCTTTTTTTTCCTCCAGGGCATTATATTACCATTTTTTGATCACAAGGACATTGATGTGCATCTAACTGAGCTGGGCTTTTTTTTTTTCTTTTCTTAAACATTAGCCTGAAGACACGAATGAAATTAATCACTGCAAGTGAATTAGCTAATCACTGAATTAATCATCAGTTTATAAATTAAATATGAGGAGGGCTTTGAGATCAGCCTGAATTCAGCCCTGCCTCAGACTCTCCTGGTTAACTAATGGGTTTTGTTTGAAACAAAGACTCCTGCTCAGGCTGAACTCTATTTGTATTTACTTGTTCTAGTGAAACTCCACTAGTACTTCATCCAGGAATAGTGGTAGGCAGTGTCAGCTTTAATTATGTCAAAAAAAGCACTTGTTCTGAGCTCTGCCTTTTCCCAGATTAGCAGGATCTGTTGGTCTATTGCTGCCCTGAGTGATGCTGTTAGCAGAAGTAGTGGGGGAAGGAGGGGAAGATTTCATTTCTCTGCAGAAAACTCCTCAAAGGACGTTGATGCCACAAGGGGATTTACCATGAATGCAAATGTTCAGTCTCATGAATATTAATATTGGTAAAACAGTGATTTAACCTCCTCTGAAGCTATTTGCACTTTGGCCATACACTGTGTGGATTGTTGTTGCAAAAGGTACAACCATTTCAAGGGGTTCTTAATTACTGCAGGTGCACATGCAACAAGTGTAAGAGCTCAAGAAAAGCTCAGTGCTGAAAGGCCCTGAGGACAAAGTGAGGCAGAGAGCCTCAACACTTTGCCAGGACAATTCAGCTCTTCGTAGGACATCTGTTCCACCCCAAACCCTGGGGCACACAGACATGAGGCAGGTGCCTCAGCTCACATTCAAAGTCTTAGGACAGGTTCATTTTACCATGCAGTGTGAAACAGAGCAATAAGAATCATAGAATCAACCAGGTTGGAAAAGACCTCCAAGATCATCAAGTCCAACCTTACTGTGGTTACTAGACCATGGCACGAAGTGCCACATCCAGTCTCAGCTTGAAAACCTCCAGGGATGGTGAATCCACCACCTCCCTGGGCAGCACATTCCAGTGCCTGATCACTCTCTCCATAAAAATTCTCTTCCTAATATCCAACCTAACCCTCCCCTGGCAGAGCTTGAGTCTGTGCCCTCTTGTCCTGCTGCTGGTTGCCTGGGAGAAGAGACCAACCCCCACCTGACTCCAACCCCCTGTCAGGGAGTTGTAGAGGGTGATAAGGTCTCCCCTGAGCCTCCACCAGCTTCATTGGTGTCACTGAATCCTACTGATGGAGTATGATTTTTCTGTGTTTACAGTAATAACAGCTTCTGCACTAAGTTTGTGTCTGATGAACATTGCTTTGGAGAAGTGAGGGCATAGGTGCTGCCTTGGGTGTCTTAGTAAAGCTGTGACAATGTCTTAGAGCACCTACTTTAGCTTAGCATTGTAGCCACATATTCACAATGAAACCTCCCATGGGGGAACCCTAAAGGCATATCCTAAGGATTCACCTCCAGGACATTGCAGAGATACCCAGAAAGAGAGAGGGTTGATACAAACAAGGTTCTGCTCCCCATGGCAATAACTTCCCTTCAGTTTTCAAGATGCTCTCCATATCCACATGCTGTGCAGCCAAGGGCTGCTGTTCCTCCAAGCCCAGGCTGGCAGAATGCCCCAACCCACCACCACCAGCAAGGGGAGGAGGACAAGACAAGGCTGGCAGCAAGCTGACATCAAGCCCATTTGCCAGCACAATGCACATGAGTCACATATATGACAACTGGACTGGCCCAGCCAGGGACAGCGCTGGGGGAAGTGGGAATGTGGACATTGTGTCTCCTGAGTGCTGAAGAGATTTAAACTTTGATGTCTTTATTCCTTCACAACATGCCAAGGATTAGGCATTCTGGCATCTGGAGGGTCACAAAATGAAAATCCCATTTGTATACCACACCAGGCCTCAAAAACTGAAAGGGATTTTATTGGCCAGACAAGACTGCTCTTCTGCACTGAGATGTGTTTCACCCACCAAGCTTTTATGAGCTGGCAGCTATAAAGGCCACTTTGTACTAAACCTAAGCTGTAATTGCATTTTCATTGCCCATGATTTCATTTCCCATCTGAGAAAAGTCCTTATAGCATAAAGCATTTGCACCAGACTTGAATAATAAATTCCCTATTAGCTGGCTTCTCCTGCCAGCACAGGAGAATCAGAGAATCATGGCTGGAAAAGACTTCTAAGATCATCATGTCCAACCTTAACCCGATACTCTCCTGTTGCCTTTAAACCCTAAACCATATCCCTCAGCGCCAGATCCCGACACCTTTGAACACTTCCAGGGATGGTGGCTCCACCATTTCTCTGGGCAGCCTATTCCAATGCCTGACAACCCCTTCAAGGAAGAACTTTTTCCTTACATCCAATCTAAACCTTTTCTGGCCCAACTTGAGGTCACTTCCTCTCATTATACCTCTTGTCATTTGGGCAAAGAGACCAAACCCCACCTCACTACAACCTCCTTGCAGGTAGTTGTAGAGAACAGTAAAGTCCCCCCTGAACCTCCTTTTCTCCAGGCTAAACAACCCCAGCTCCCTCAGCCTCTCCTCACAGTTGTGCTCCAGATCCTTCCTCAGCTCTATTCCCTTCTCTAGACTCACTCCAGCACCTCTATGTCTTTCTTGCAGTGAGGGGCCCAAAACTGAACACAGGATTCAAGGTATAGCCTCACTGGTGTTGAGTACAGGGGGTGGATCACCTATCACCTCTCTAGGCTCAGCCTTCCAGCCAGATTTTTACCCAGTGAACAATGCACCCATCCATACCATGTTTCTCCAGGAGAATCCTATGGGAAATGGTGTCAAAGGCTTTATTAAAGTACAGTTATACACCATCCTCACCCGTTCCCTTATCCACTGAACAGGTCACCTTGTCAAAGAAGGAGTTTTAATTCTTCTTATTAGAATTTAATTTCTATTGGAAGCAATTTTAATTATTTTTTTGCTAATCTCTTACAAGAAACTAGAGGTGGGGTGGGGATTGCCCCTTATTCACACGAACATCACTGCCCTGTAACAAATTGAAGGAGTTCTTCCTGCCGGAAAGTTAACCAAATGTTAAGCAGGTACACCCCAGCAGAGCTGGTCCATGGGCAACAGGAGCCCCTTAACTCTTCCAGGTTACACTTGCCATGTTTGTTTTTCTTAACACAGGTGCAGCAGTAGGAGACTAAGATGCAGCACCCTATGTTCAGGACAAGCCAGGCAGAGTCCTCTTTGTAGGGGTTAACTTTTAGTTTGCTGCATGTTTTTCTTCTGGTAAGATAAACAGAATCGTAGAATCATAGAATTTTAGGGGTTGAGATGGACCTTAGAGATCATCCAGCCCCAACCCCTGCCCTGGGCAGGGACACCTCCCACCACACCAGGTTGCTCAAGGCT